TTTATCCTCCGTCATTGCTATCCCTCTCTCTGTCACCGTCGTAGTACAGCATCAGCTTCCCTTTCTTTACTCCGTTACTAATCGCCGTTAATTCTCCGTCATCATTATCGCTTTCTCCGTCATTTTCGTAGTACGCCGTCAGCTTACCCTTCGTTACTCCGACACCGCACATTAACGGCGTCCAAATCGCCGTTGCGGTTTCCACCGCTGGAGTTCCCGTCGATTGCGGTTCGATGTCGTCGTTCGGAGAGGCTTTGTTCTCAGATTCAGCCCCGATTTCCTCGGACACGGCGGAGCAGTGGTCGATCATCATCGGAGATGAGGAATCGCCGCCGGTGGTGGCTCGGATCCTCCAGAAACTGACGGCAGCGGTGGCTACGGCGATCCATGTCCAGAGGTTGTTGACGACAGAGAAGATCCCGAAGCTCACGTAGTTGAAAGCTAACGCCTCCAATCGCAAATCGACGGTCACCATCTCTCTCTCTCTCTGTGATAATCGAAGGATTTGAATTTTCTGTTGTTCGATGAAGTCGATACACACGATGTGATATTGATTCGGTGTTTATATAGGGGAGGAGAGAGAGATAGTGAAAGATATTAAATCGGAGCCGTTGGATGAGGGCTATTTGAACGGTGGATCATGTTGAGATGGAGATTAAATCTGAGCCGTTGGATATTGTCAAGTGGAACGGTGGATCTTTTGAGATGCTAAGAATCGAGAATCGAAGATGCTTGTCGTGAAGGAAGATACCCAGAGCCGTAAAGCTTATTCCTAAATTTTGTTGCAAAAATATTAAAATAAATTAAATAAAACGAAATTAAAATTGTATTAAGGAAAAATCCTAAAAAAAAAATACTCAACTTTTTAATTTTAACAAAAAACACCAAATTTTATTTTTTATCAAATAAATATTAAATTTTTTAAATAAATCTAAAAATACTAATTTTTTAAAATAATCTAAAAAATGTATAAACTTTTTTACGATTATAAAAAAATACTGAACATTTTTAATGATCCAAAACAATACATATATTTTCTTGGATTATAAAAAAACTAAATAAAATAATCTAATGTATTTACATCTTCTTGTGATATATTAATTATTTTATTTATTTTAATAATCGTAGAAAAATTTAAATTATCAAATTTAAAACATTTAATATTTATTTGATAAAATAGAAAGTTTAGTATTATTTTTTTCATGAAATTTCAGTGTTTTATTTTAGATTTTTCCTATTATTAAACATAGATTTATGTTTGGGCACCACGTGTCTGGTCAGAACGGGTCTCAGATACCGCCGTATATTCTTCCGTTTCGTCAGTTGCGATGTTTGGATTTGACACGTGGAAGTAAAGATCGGGATATTGACACGTGGCGATATTATAGTGGTCTGTCATGGATATCTCTGCGAAAACCTATACACAGATTGATATTAGATGTAATTAAATTAATTGGCGAGCCAAGAGATGATAGCTTATACGTATGGACATTAATTAATCATGATTGATGTTTTAAGATAGGGTTATTTTATTTTCCGGTTATACATGTTAATTATTAAGCCATATATAATTATAAATAATAAGTACATGATAATAAATATTACAGAAAAAATATATTATCTAACTACTAATGGGTTTGTTGAAGCTTAAAAGGGCGTTTGGCTTTAATATCCATCATAGGTTGTGATAATATAAAAAAAAGTTTATAATCGTAGACTTTTAACGAGATTATGCTTCTTCGGAATTCAATCATGATAATAATATTATTATTATAATTGTTGATGATGGAGAAGGCTGTAGTAGTTGTTATCCATCAAACATAAAAGTATTTCCCTTTTTTTTTATGAAACTAAAAAAAGTCATGGACCATAATTGCCAAAACGACATCATGTCAAAGGTGTACCACTATAATTTTATGGTTTGTTGAATCAATATATATATAATCTGCATATTTGCGTTTGTTGTTTTCTTACATATATATATATATATGTATATATATGTGTAAATTCTATAAATTATATGCTGATTTTATATATATATACACACACACGGGTGAGACACCATGGTCATCCAAACAAATTTCATCAATTATACATATCATATACTGCAAAGACGTGTTACAACATTGATATAACACCATATTTATAACTAGGTTGTTTTTGTTTGCTTAAGAAAATAACAAATGGACCTTGCTTCTTTACTTCTTTTTTTTTTTTTTGGTATGAAATTCTTTACTTCTTCGTCACACAGACTTAGTTGATGGATGTTGGCCGAGATCGAGGACGAGGTTTGAACTCGAGAAAGATGTCGTGGACGCGGACGAGGGGTTATGCCTCGTTCGAGCCCTCATCGGTCTCGCTCGAGGGCATAAGCGGGTTCTCGTCATTTACGTCGTCGACCTTCTTCGTATTCAGCGGGTTTTCCACGTCCTTAGGGAGAGACGAAATCGGGATCATTGTTGTCCCTATCGATTTTGTCAGAGCGT